TGCACGTGCTCATATGTGTGCACGAGATGAATAATGTGTGTGTGTGTTCAGTGCAGTCATTTATTTTGCGTTGTGATCTTTATGAGCTGCGTTTTCGTCCGTTTCCTGAAGTTCCTGCCCCCCGACAAATGGACGATGGCGGTGCCACCAGGTCCTTGTACGAGTCACGTATGGGTTAAAAAGTTTTTAGTGCTGTGGGAGCCATCTTCAGTCGGGTCGACTCGGTTGTAGATGTACGTCCATTGATTAGTTTCATTAAAATCTATCCTGTAGATTCATGAGATATTTTGCTAACAGACAGGGTTGACTCCAAATTCAGATGAAGATGAATTTGTTTGTACCCTTTTTGTTAAAGAAAGGAAAACCCACAGAATCACTGAAGAACTGGAGCAAAGACCAGAACCCTGGAACATGGAGGAAACTCGGTCCTGTTCTGGGTCTGGGTCTGGGTCAGGGGGTCCTTGAATCTGTTCAAGGTACAATGAAACCTCAAAACTATCGAGGCTTTCTGGAGACAAATGTTCTGTCTCAGTGTTAGAAAACTTGGTCTCAATCGCAGCTCATGGCTCCTCCAACAGGATAATGACCCAAAACACAGCTAAAAGCACAGAACGGGTCAGAACCAAACATTGGACGGTTCTGAAGTGTCCCGCGCCTTGATCTAGAACCTGTTAAACATCGGTGGATGAAGCTGAAACATCTGGAAAAGGAACCCTTCAAACTCGAGACAGCTGGAGCAAATTGATCAGGAGGAGTGAACCAGGACACCCGTGGACAGGTGGACCAGGACACCCGTGGACAGGTGGACCAGGACACCCGTGGACAGGTGGACCAGGACACCCGTGGACAGGTGGACCAGAACACCCGTGGACAGGTGGACCAGGACACCCGTGGACAGGCGGACCAGGACACCCGTGGACAGGCGGACCAGGACACCCGTGGACAGGCGAACCAGGACACCCGTGGACAGGTGGACCAGGACACCCGTGGACAGGCGGACCAGGACACCCGTGGACAGGCGGACCAGGACACCCGTGGACAGG